CAATGCTATTATTAACAAACGAGAATACCTTATATTCAATGCCATTACAAACGGGAATGCCTTACATTCAATGCTATAATCAACAAACGTAAATGCCTTACATTCAATGCTATTACTAACAAACGAGAATACCTTCTCGCAGGAGCAACTCTCCTCTTACCTGTTGCCGCTATCGTCATCAGAGCGAGGCAGACGATCGCGTGTAATGAATTGCTGCTATCCATCGCGCCTCGCACACCTGCTTGCTTGTGTCGCGTCGTCAGCCTCGCTGCGACCCCTATAGTCGTCACTGCAAGCGACACTGCTGCCAGCCGACGACCGCATGCGCGCGCGCCACCAGCGGAAACCCTGACGAATACAGAGGAGGCTAGAAAGCGAGCGAGAGCGCGAGAGAGAGAGCGAGAGTGAGAGAGGTAGTGAGAGAGCGAGAGCGAGAACCTCCTCCTTCTCCCCCTCCTCCTCCTCCTCCTCCTCCTCCTTTCTATCTTCTTCTTCCTCCTCCTCCTCCTCCTCCTCCTCATCCATCTCCTCCTTTTCCTCTGCATCCTCATTCTTCTTTCTCTACTTCTTCTTTTCCTTCTCCTCCCCCTACTCTTCTTCTTCTTTGTTTTATAATAGCAAAACGTATAGTACTAATAGTAACACGAATAACACTACATGCCGAGCTGTGCCTATAAACTCATGTCCTCTTCCATCGCTACCCGCACGCACCACTCCCAAACGCCATCACCAGCTCATCAGTCTTCATACCGGATGAGTATAATACAACCCCGTACAAAAGGCACTCTTACTTGAACACGTCGGTCGACGACGGAGATAAACTACCCCGCGACGCAGGTCTGAGCGACCGCGATGCGTCTTGCGATAGCCTCGCTAGCCTAGTTTGACGCTGTGCGGGCCGCGAGATAACGATCGACAAATCGCCGGCCGCGTATATCGTCGGCTGCCGACGTAGTACTGTTTTCACGTTGTCGATCATTTCCAGCCTACTTTCGTTTTTGTTCTATAGTGTGCGAGCCGCGTATTTCGGCCGATGCCGTCCGGGAGCCCGTTGTCAGAGACAAAATTAGTCTTAACATTAGTCTTATCACTAACAATTTCTCCTAGACCGTCGACATCACTTTGTTTCGTATCGTTATGAGGAAATCTGCTACGGTTTTTGATTCAGGTAACTTCGCAGCGTTTCTGTCGACGGTCTAAGAGAAAAAGTTAATGTTAAGACTAATGTTAAGACTAAATTTGTTTCTGACAACAGGCCACCTGATTTTGATTTCGGAGATCATTTGCAGCGTGAGGGAAGCTAGAGGGGCGGACTCTGTAGAGGGGGGGGGGGCGTCGTTAATCTGTTAGTGTGAGGTGGGTGGGTCCGGTTCATAGGTGGGTGGGTCCGGTGTACAGGTGGGTGGATCTGGTTTACAGCGAGGGGGATTGGTGGGTCCGGTTTATAGATGGGTGGGTCCGGTTTATAAGTAGGTGGGTTGGTGGGTCAGGTGTACAGGTGGGTGGTTTGGTGGGTCAGGTGTACAGGTGGGTGGTTTGGTGGGTCAGGGTGGGTGGTGGGTGGGTGTGTTAGGTGTATGGGTGGGTGGTTGGTGGGTCCGGTGTACAGGTGGGTGGTTTGGTGGGTCCGGTGAATAGGCGGGTGATTTGGTGGCACAAGTGTATAGGTATCAGATGTACAGGTGGGTGGGTGGTGCGCTTGGGGTGTCTATGTAGGTGCGTGGGTGGAGAGAGAGAGAGAGTGAGAGAGAGAGAGAGAGAGAGAGCGAGGGAGAGAGAGAGAGAGAGAGAGACGAGAGAGAAGAGAGAGAGAGAGAGCGAGGGGGAGAGAGAGATGTGATAGAGAGAAAGAGAGACGAAACATATAGGCGAAGAGAGTGGAGAGAGGACGAGAGAGAGAAAGGAGAAGAGAGGAGAGAGACGGGACGAGAAAGGTAGAGAGAGAGGACAGACGAGAGAGAGACGAGAGACGAGAGGAGGGAGAGAGGAGCGAGAAGAGCGACCGACGGAGAGAGAGAGGAGAGAGAGAGCAGAGGAGCGAGGAGGAGAGAGAGAGAGAGAGAGAGAAGGCAGAGAGAGAGGAGAGAAGAGAGAGGCAGCGAGAGAGAGAGACGAAGGAGAGAGAGAGTGAGAAAACCAGTGATACGAAAAGAAGAGAGAGAGAGAGAGAGGACTAGGGACTGAGAAGAAAGAGAGAGAGAGAGAAAGAAGTGGTCGGGAGAGCAGACAGAGAAGAGAAAGAGAGCAGGGGGAGATAAATAGGTTGTACTACGTATACAAATACCTGTGTTCGCGCTTGAACTGATCCAATCATTTAGAGCAGCTTAGCGTGATCGCGTTGTACGCCCGCATTATATGATGCAGAGGTGCAATTGTCAGTTGTCCATCTCGAGTGAGATGGTGTAGGTTTATTGTGTAGCGCAATGGCTATAGTAGTCCTTTATAAGCTATGGTGCCTCGCCTACGATTATCTACATGGCCCTATATTATATATACTATATATATATTTATACTATATATGGTGTGGTGTGTGTGTGGGTGTGTTGTGTGTGCCGTGTGTGCGTGCATGGCGTGCGTTGCGACGTGAGCCTGTGTGTGTGTGTGTATGTGTGTGTGTGTGTGGTGTGTGTTGTGTGGGTGTGTGTGTGTGTGTGTGTGTGTGTGTGTATGTGTGTGTGTGTGTGTGTGTGTGTGTGTGTGTGGCTCGGTGTGTGTGTGGTGTGTGTGATGTGTGTGTGGGTGCTGTGTGTGTGTTGTGCTGTCTCTACGTGGATGAATGTTTAAACACCATTCCTAGTCATTTACTCACAGCTTAAGTAACTGCCACCGAGTTGCACGGATGATGCCGATTACATAGCATCGCCATATTTCATTCTAGTCTTACACAAGCGAGCGTTATAATTATTACCTAATAAGTATTCAACTACGTTAAAAACAATCTACAACTTTAGCCACCGATTGTCAGTTCGTAAGCTTTTACTGAGAGTCGGGTTACGCCTTCGCGGCCGCTTTAAGTGACCCGTGTGTCAGTAAGCGCGCGTGACTGCGAGCGACGAGACCGTCAGCGTGAAACACTATATATGCGTTCAAATTAATTGCTCTCCGGGCTTCGCGCGTGGTCAACGCTGTGCTCTCACACGGCTCTAATTTGTGCTCAAAAACCCGGTCTTGGTTCACGCACTCACCCACCTCTAACTCTAGACGAAAACATTTACCGAAGTGTTTTATATATACTCATATATATATATATATAATTACTATAGACAATACTATAATATATATAGTATATGATTACATCGCTACAGTATATAATCCCACGGGATACGCATCACAATAACTTTTATGTAATATAAGTTGAATATATACTTATATAGTAATGGTGTACAGAGCGTGAAGACGACGACACCGAGCAGTAAGCATGGCACTACGATCTACCTCAAAATGCAATGCCGTGACATCTACCAGCAATTAATCGAATTTATCCGCCTACTGATCTCCATCTAGTGATCTTCGCATTCTCGACCGTAATAACTCTCGACTCTATCTTAATAGATCTACCTTAGCCAAAGGATAACTGCTCACACTCACGCAGGCAAAACTATTAAAAACGACGAGAATACAATAAAAATGTCAAACTCGTGTAGCTAACTGTGAGAATGTAGAACGGTAACTCGAATACAGGACTTATCACCGTTGCACCTGCATGCTACAAGTTGCGGCCGCGTCGTCCACACCAATCCATACGTAGCTCTAGCAACAACAGCAACCTGTATAGTTCTAGAGTAACATCGCTTAGGGGTATTCGCTGCTCTAGACTCTGGCTAACATCACACATGCTGCCACGCCGCTGTGCAGAATTTATCACTTTTACGTCCTACGCTACCTGACCGTTCACAATGATCGATTATCTTCAAACAAGGAAGTACCTTATATTCAATTGCCATTACAAACGGGAATCAATACCTTATATTCAATGCCTATTAATTACAAATGCGGAATTCCTTACATTCATGCCATTATCTAACCAACACGGAATACTACACATTGCAATGCCATTCATCTAAGCCACAGGAATACTTTACACATTCAATGCTATTTATTAAAAACGAGAATACCTCACATTCAATGCTTTCATTAACAAACGAGAATTACCTTATATTCAATGCACTTCAACAACACTGGGAATGCCTTACATTCAATGCCTATTAATCAACAAACGTCAAATGCCTTACAATCAATGCTAATTACTAACCAAACGAGAATACCTTCTCGCAGGCAGCAACTCTCCTTCTTACCTAGTTGCCGCTATCGTCATCAGAGCGAGGCAGACGATCGCGTGTATATGAATTGCTGACCTATCCATCGAGCTCGCACACCCTGCTTGCGGTTTGGTCGTTCGCGTCGTCAGGCCTCGCTGCGGACCCTATAGTCGTCACTGCAAGCGACCACTGTGCCAGCGACGACCGGCATGCGCCGCGCGCCACCGCGGAAACATGACGATACAGAGGAGGCTAGAACAGCGAGCGAGAGGCGAGAGAGAGAGCGAAGGAGTGAGGAGGGTTAGTGAGAGAGCCGAGGCGAGAAAAGAGAGAGAAGAGAAGAGAGTGAGAGAGAGAGAGAGAAGACGAGCGGAGAGAGAGGAGAGTGAGAGAGCGAGATATGAGAGAGAGAGGAGAGAGAGACGAGAGAGCGAGCTGAGGCGAGAGAGAGCGATGAGAGAGAGATGAGATGGAGAGTGAGAGAGAGAGGAGAAGATAGTGTGTGAGAGAAAGAGAGTGAGTAGAGAGGAGTATGTATGTGTGTGAGACGCAGAGTGTGAGACGATGAGAGCTGGGTGACCGAGTGTGACCTTGTGAGAAGACAGAGAGAGCGAAACGAGCGACGAGAGCGGCACGAGAGCGAAGATGGAGCGTAAGAGAGAGAGAGAGAGGAGGAGCTTGAGAGAGAGACGGAGGGAGAAGAGAAGACGAGAGAGAGGAGGATGGACGACTGAGGCGAGATGAGAAAGACTTCAGCTGTTCTTATCTGGCGCTATGCGAATGAAGAGAGAGAGAGAGAAGAGGAGAGAGGAGAGAGACGGAGACGAGATGAAGATGGAGACAAAGACGAGAAGACGAGAGAGAGAGAGCAGAGAGAGAAGAGAGAGATTAGAAGACTGACGAGAGGAGAGGAGAGCATGAAGAGAGGACTCGCGCGCCCTTCATCGGCTGCGCTCGCAGGCGTG